CTTTTGAAAATCTTATTTTCATTTGCTCCCGCTTAAAAGATTCCATTTGAAATCAACTGAATGGCACATGAAAGACCTAATAAAAATTAATACACTCATTTTAAAATTTGTTCTCATACCAAGAATGAAATTTTGTTTTAGAAGCTAGATGACTATGTGATGCTCTCTGTTCTACTTTTATGACTAATTTTTTATTTTGATCTCAATGACAAGGAACATAGCTAGCAGTCCCAGCCATTCCTAATTCACTACAGAAAATTATGTCACTGATTTATATCTTAACTTTTTTTTTGTTTTCAATAACAGTAGGACATTAATACTGATCTTCATAGAGATTCTGTAGACAAAAGATTGTGCCTATTTTGTCTTAGGGACCTCGTGTAGGGTGTATGCTGAAAAACTTGGGTGGGGGTGCCATTTATAATGACGCAGATCTGACTCAAGGACTGTGGATTTTCCAGTTGGGTACCTTTGACTTTGTGACCCTACTCCTTTTTAGATAGCTAGAATTCTAAAAAGAGTTGTTATCCCATAACTGACAGCCTTGTTAGTTTCACAATTTTGTACGCATCTTGGGGATGTTAAAAAATTATATGAGTCGTTAGGAATTGTCCTGTTATTTATTTGAACAAAGATTGCCAACTGTTTTGTAAGGAAGTCCTACTCTTTATTTCCATGAAATATGAAATCAGTGGAATAGCAGAGGGCTGAATTAGGAAGTCCTAGAAGCTGAGGTGAAGGTAGGGATTGGCTGGTGAAAGTAAGGTCAAAATAAGGGGGAGATTCCTGATGGAAGGCTCACCTTCCTAGAGAAGTCCTGGCAAACCAAATGCCACACCCGTCCCACACACAAAGGTGAGAGTTCTAAATTGAGAAGGAGCTTCTATATAACATTGAGAAAACAGTAACTTACAGAAAATTTTGAAATTTGGTTAAATGATTACTAATAAGTTTTGTTATATTTGAAAAAGCCAATCTTTCTGACTTTCTAGAATATTGTCAGTCTGTGCATCCTTTGCATTCTGTCCCTTACAGATTGTTGAACACTAACCTGTTCCTCACGTGTACTCAGTAGTACAGCAGAACAGAAAGAAGCAAAGATTGCCCAGAAAAAAAAATCATATAATAGAAAAGTGGGAGAATCCAAACAAAAAGCAAATCTGAGTTCTTATTGAATGTTGTGAAAAAAATAATGAAATACAAATTGATTTTTAATAGTGACTATATACTAAAAAGTTAAAAGTCAGGAAAAGTTTTGAGGGAAAGTGGAAATGAACATTAAGGAATTATGAATACTAGAACCTATGTCTTAGGAATGAGTAAGAGAAATTGCAAGAACGGTTAAACATATGAGTAAGGAAATAGGGTGTTATTCCTTTATCAGTAATATATGTGCCTCAGACAAGGTGGTAATATTTTAGAATTTTATACTTCCGACAGTATCTTTTATTTTGGGATTTGGATAAATTCATTGATAAGCATGTAAGAATTTTAAATTCCAGCTTCTGAAAGCATAAGGAAACAGAAAAGTTCCAAAGATGAAAATTAACTTGCTGTATTTAAGGAACAAAGTAAAAGCCAGTGTGGCTGGAAAGTAGTCAGCAAGAGGAGAGTGGTAAGGAAATTAGATGAGAGAGGTAGGCTGTGGTCAAGTCATATAGGTAGGGAAATTTGGCCACAGTAAGGAAATTGCCACTTCATCTTAAATGCAATGGAAAGGCATAGGAAGTGTTAGGCAGAAGAGTTTTGGGTACAGATTTCAGTACAGGAACACAGAACTATATTTCTAAGACAGAAATGTCCAGAGAGCCACAGCTTCGTGAAGCAATATTCCTTTTCTTCATTCAAGCATGATTTTTGAATCATGTTGCCTTACTTTCAAACATAAAAGCACGTGGCTCTTGGTGCTTGCCCTATGGATGATGTATAGTAAAACTAAGGGTTAAGTCAGTATGTGGACTAGTGAGTTCCTCTTTCTTTTATAAGGCAAATGGATATTTAATTTTAGCTTGAAAAAATAAATATGAATACTTGGATAATGTCACAACCCAAGCAATCCAACTAAAAACTTTTTTAAAAAATGTTAAAAGTTAATTATTTGACTGGACCTTTAAAAATTTTTTTTACTGATTTAGTTATTAAATATTTACATATAGATTTCATTTAAAGTGGATTATTTTTAAATTGCTGTTTGATTAATTTTCCACAGGTATAACTTTGTCAAATGCAATGGTAAATGCTGGTTTGATTTCCTTTAAAAAAATAGAAGAAACAGATGCAAGGGAACTTGAACTGGTATTTAGTATTTACTTATTCCTAATGTTACCTGAATTCTATCTAAATTCTAAAGCCTAACTTTTATATCTTTGTTTCTATTAAAAATTATTTTAATTCTCATAGTGATAAATCTTTTAACTTATCAAGGTTTTGGGAAACTTGACTCTAAAAAAATTATTTTACAAAAGAATTTCAAGTATTGTGGTAAAAATATAATGATGTAAATATTTTTAGATTCTAAATAGACATCCCCCTTTTGGAACCCAGATAAAAGAAACCGTGATGTTTCTACCAAAATATAAACTTGAAGTGGAACAGGTAAATATTTTATGTTTTTTAGATATTTTAATTGTCTTTTTAGGAATAAAGCTACCTATAACTAGTCTTGGAGCTGAATATGAGTAGTAAGGTTATTTTTTAACACTTTTTATTCCTATCCTTTTTTCAAGATTGCAAGATATAATGATACCATAGCGGAAATATTAGTGACCATTATATTAAGAAACTTTGAACAGCTACAAACTAAAAGAACAGCACCGGATTCTCACTACGTTACCTTAATCATAGGTGATGCAGATAATCAAGTAGTTTATTTTAAGCACAAAATTATGTAAGTGTGAAATTTCTAATGTTTGGATTTTATTTCTAAGCATATACTATAAAAAAATTCCACTGAAAAAAAGAGTAACAAAATCACTGTGGGATCAATTAAATTATGTTTTCCTGAGATAATAATGGGGTAGTTTTTCTATTTGTCTATTAAAGAAGGTACTAACTTTGCATCTGTTGTTTCAAACTGTTATATTTAATACTCAAATGAACAAAGTATAAAATCTATCACCATAGTCTGA